GCATGCATGTTCGTTCCCAACACGGTGTGTGATGGCCGAAGTCGCCCGCGGCAGCCAGCAGATGCCGTGTCTGTCCGCAGCGGACTTCATCTTCGTGGATGAACGTGGTCTCGAGCTTGCTCAACCTCGCGATTACTCAGATTACTTTGTCATTGTGAACCAAACTGCAGCTGATGCCCGGCTCGAAATAAGCTTTGACAGTGACTTTTCGATTCTCGTGGATGTGCATCTGCTCAGCGGCAAGAGTGTGTCTTTGGAAGTGGAGGCGGATGCATCCATTGAGTCATTGAAGCAATGTGCCCAGAGTGCCCTGGCCGTGGGTAGAGGAAGGCTGCTGAATTCTTCTGGAGAGCTGCTTGACGGAACACAAACGATCACAGAAGCGAAGTTGAAGAGTGGAGACGTGTTCACTCTACATGTAAACCAGGTCCGGCTTAAGAGCAACAAGCAAGCCGGTGGTTTCTCTAAATTTGCCGCTCTCTTGGGTGATGGATCTGTGGTCACCTGCGGCAGGGCTGACTATGCTGACTATGGCAATTACTGCGACAGCAGTGCCGTACAGGATCAGCTGCGAGATGTGCAGCAGATCCAGGCTTCTCGTCGTGCATTTGCTGCAATCCGGTGTGACGGATCTGTCGTGACCTGGGGTGGTGCCACTGGTGATGCCATCTCTGGTGGCGACAGCAGTGCGGTGCAGGATCAGCTGCGAGACGTGCAGCAGATCCAAGCTTCTGGTCAAGCATTTGCCGCAATCCTGTGTGATGGATCTGTGGTCACCTGGGGCAATGCCGACCGTGGTGGCGACAGCAGTGCGGTACAGGATCAGCTGCGACATGTGCGGCAAATCCAAGCTTCTTAGAGTGCATTCGCTGCAATCCTTCTCGATGGATCTGTCGTCACCTGGGGCAATGCGCTGTCTGGTGGCGACAGCAGTGCAGTACAGCATCAGCTGAAGAACGTGCAGCAGATCCAAGCTTCTGGAGGTGCATTTGCTGCAATCCTGCGTGATGGATCCGTGGTCACCTGGGGTGATACCGATTTTGGTGGCGACTGCAGTGCGGTGCAGGACCAGCTGCGAGACGTGCAGCAGATCCAAGCTTCTTATCGTGCATTTGCTGGAATCCTGGGTGATGGTTCTGTGGTCGCCTGGGGTAGTGCCGACTATGGCGGCGACAGCAGTGCGGTACAAGGAGCAGCTACGAGATGTGCAGCAGATCCAAGCTTCTGATATGGCATTTGCTGCAATCCTGGGTGATGGATCTGTGGTCTCCTGGGGCAGTGCCGACTTTGGTGGTGACAGCAGTGCGGTGCAGGATCAGCTGCGACATGTGCGGCAAATCCAAGCTTCTGAAGCTGCATTTGCTGCAATCCTGGATGATGGATCGGTGGTCACCTGGGGTCATGTCAACTATGGTGGAGACAGCAGTGCAGTACAGGAGCAGCCGCGCGATGTGCAGCAGATCCAAGCTTCTCTTAGGGCATTCGCTGCAGTCCTGGGTGATGGATCTGTGGTCACCTGGGGCCATGTGCACTCTGGTGGCGACAGCAGCGCGGTACAGGATCAGCTGAAGAATGTGCAGCACATCCAAGCTTCTAGTCGTGCATTTGCTGCAATCTTGCACGATGGAACTATCGTCACCTGGTGACAGCAGTGCGGTGTCGGATCAGCTGCATGATGTGTAGCAGAGGATTCCCACGCAACGTGAGAAGCATTTTGGGATCCCTGGGTTTCATGGGCCTATGAAAACGGAATAGCTACAAAAAGGGTACCTTTCTTATTGAGTGGATACTGAGAAACCACGTTTCTTTACCAGTTGATGGACGTTTACAATCACATGTTCTATGCAAATTAGCTTTTCAATATGTCGCACTTGCTTGAAGCCCTAAACCCCTAAAACCCCTAAAGCGGGGCATGTTGTCCCCTAAACAGGTAGTCAGGATTTGGCAGCCCCGTAAGCCCGAACTGCCACCGTAAGGTTTAGGCTTTAGGGTTTAGGGGTTAGGGTAGACTTATGAGCTTAAAACGAAGCCCAAAGCCGAAGCCGTAAATCCTAAATCCCCAAAGCCTAAAGCCTAAGGCCCCCCGACCCACAGCTGCATAACCTTAACCCTAAGCTTAAAGTTTAGGGGGTACGGTTTAGGGTTTAGGGTTTAGGGTTTAAGTAAACCCTAAACGAAACCCGTAAACCCCTAAAGCAGGGCTTGTTGTTACTTAAACAAGTGGCCAGGATTTGGCTGCAGACGTGGCCTCCGCTGAGGGCCGTGCGGCCGTTGCCCAGCGCTTGGCACAGCTGTGCCGGGATGGAGGTGGCTGGGATCTTGCTTAAAGTGAGGGGACTTGGTCAAGAGGGCTATCGTTGGGCTGATAAGCTATAAGTACCGCGGTCGGAGTCATCTTGATCACTCCGCTTCCTGTGCAACCGACTTACTAAGTGCCTGAGACCTTCTGCATCTCTCGGTTGCAAAAGTCGCAGAGAGGTTTCTACCCTAAACCCTAAGCCCTAAACCCTAAACCCTAAACCCAAAGCCGCCCTAAACAGGGTTCCATCACGCTTTAGGGTGGAGGGCTGCAGAGGTTCTCAGAACGCAGCGCTCTTTTTAAAGGGCCTTCCTGCAAAAGAAGCAGAAGTCCAAGTGTAAGAGGTCAATAAAGATTGTTGGGGTCGTGTTCATTCTAAGCCCTAATTCCAAAAAAACACTAAATCATCAAACCCTAAACCTTAAATCACTAAACCCCAAACCCTCAACCCTGAATGACTAAGATGTCTTCAACGAGCACCAAGGTTTGGGGTTGCGGCCTTTCTTGGGTCGGGCCATGCACTTAAACCCCAGAACCCGAAGCCTTAAAACCACAATCCGGAACCCTAAACTTAAAAAAGGGGCCAACATAAATAGAATAGGGCTTGGGGCCTACGACACGATAGTTATAACAAGGAGCCCCCCAAAATAGTATTGGTAATGATCTAGGCCCCTGAATTAAATCTTAGCCTTAACCCTAAACCCCAGAACCCAAAGCCTTGAACCCTAAACCCCAAACCCCAGACAAGACCCTTAAACTCTGACTCTAAACTTCAGATTTCGGTCACAAGTACAGGGCATCCTAAAGTCTTCAGTCTTGGGTATTCTGGGGGTTTTTGGGGACGGCACAGTGGAGGGTTGAGGGGTTTAGGGTTCAGAAGGTTTCGGTTTAGGGGTTTAAGGTTCACGGTTTAGGGTTTAGGGCTTACGCTTCTAGGGTCTTGGGGTTGAAAGTTCATCCTAAACCGAAGCTCGAAATCCTCTATCCGAAACCCTAAACCCGATACGTTTTTTTTTCTTTCTCTCTCTCTCTCACTCTCTCACTCTCTCACTCTCTCACTCTCTCACTCTCTCACTCTCTCACTCTCTCACTCACTCACTCACTCACTCACTCTCTTTCTCTCTCACACTAAAACCAAGAGTTTGATGATGCCCTGATTCTGGCGTTTACACCTTCTTTGAGTTTAGGGTTTAGGGTTCAGGGTTTAGGGTTTCATGTTGGCAGGGTCCCAGGTTGTAAACAGGATGTTGCCACCTCCATTACTTAGGTACTGCCCCCATACAGTAAGAGTCTATAGTAGGGCTACTATTAAGGCCCACTATATCTTTATTATGAATATTATTCAACTATCACTGAATGGGGGCCGTACCCAATCCATAACATCTCCCCGGGCAGAGCCTACTTGCTAAATGCTCTGACTCTTTAAGTAGGGTGTGGGGGAGGACAGTTCGCGATTCGCGTAGAAAGGTCCAGTGGGGCTTACGTGCCTTACGCGCCCCAGACTCAAATCCTAATTTTGTAGAACTCTTACAGCAACCTTTATCGAACCCCTTGAAGGATCTGCCAAATGGAGAACCGAAGCCGAAATCGATCCAATTTAAAGCTTCGCTGCAAGGTGGAGCTTTGTCCTGCGTGGTGCACAACGCCGCAGTGGTCGGAGAGGTGGCTCGGTGTCGGCTGAATAAGGCTTGACTCATGGGCCTGTGTAAGAGCTTTCAAGGTTTGATAAAGGGGCCGCCGTGGGCCCGCTGGTTACACCGACCCCTGCAGCACCGGTGGTTCCAGCAATGTCACCGGCAGGAACCCTTGGCGAGAGTCACCATGTGGAAGGTCTTGGGAACTTTGCAGCTGGTGTCGCAGGTGCTGTGGGGACAGAGATTCCAGAGGGCGCATTGGTTGCCTCAGCTTCTGTCGAGACAGGTGCGATCGAAAATGGTCTCCGGGTGCTACTTCGCAGCACGCTTGCGAGAGCCAATCTGGTTGCAGATGAGCACTTCGAGGAGCTGGCCATGTTTGTGCTCGGCAGTTTTGTGGGCGACAAAGTTCGCCTCGTGTACACCAACCCAAAGAGACCAATACTCCTTAATTAAGAAAGATAGCTTAAATCATTAGGGGCTTCATATTATGATTTAAGCTATATTCCTTAATTAAGGGGTATTGGGCTCTCTGGGAAGCTGAAGGAGTCTTGTGCTCGCCAAAAGAAGTGCAAAGTGGCTCCCATCCAAGAGGAACTTCGCCACCTCTTGGCAGTGGAGGCGCGCCGCCTCGCAGCAAGAGGCCTCCAGGCGGGCCCGTTATAGTATAGTTATAATCAGGAACCCCCCCAAAAAATATTGGTAATTATTGAGGCTCCTATACTATGTGGTATACCCGCGTAAGGGGTGTAGTCGATTCCGACCGCTGCTGTTTTCAAGGCTTTGTCAGTGTTGTAATCGCGCTTTTGGAGTGCCCTAAGCCTCAAACCCTAAACCCTAAACCCCAAGCCCTAAACCCTAAACCCCAAGCCCGAAACCCTAAACCCTGGACCCTAAGCCCTGAACCCTAAATCTACAAACTAAGCTAGCAGGGCACGGCCCGGCCTCCCGCGCACAGCGACGGGCTGACTTTTCGCACAGCTTGACGAACTCTTGTGCCTGACGGCGACGGAAGACCTGCGTTCGAGGTTGGGACTTGACTGTTCAGAGAGGAGTTCAACAGGAGCTCACACAAACTCAATCCTCGATTTACACTGGTTCAAGATCTTCTCCTCTCTAAACGTCAACTTGATCCCCCTCTTGATTTCCTCCCACCAGCTCCCTGACTTCAGGGGCTTAGTGAGGAGGTCTGCCATCTGGCTCCCCGTAGGAGTCCAGGCTATTCTGCCAAAATGGCGAAGGTCGCACCGGATGGATGCTAGATCGATAGCGAGGCGCTTACACGTGGGGACTCTTGGAATCCCTTCTCTGGTCAAATGGTCGTAGAGGCTCTTGCAGTCACTGATAAAGCGAGCCGGGAACTTGGTGGGACCTCTCACAAGTTCTCCGTCGAGCAGAGTCTGGAGGAACTTCAGGATGTACTCGGAGGTCTCGATCCCATAGGCGCAAGCCATCGTCTCCGCTTGGAAAGTAGAGCGACATACCCTTTCGCATGCTCCGCTTTTCCAGTCAAGGATGCTCATCGGGGTCCTCTCGCCGGCGAGGACTCTGTTGTCACCAAAGACAAAGAAGCACCCGAGCTGGGAGGCGATAGATGAATTCGCCTTCTTCGCCTTTCGGGAGAGGAGGCTGTGTGGCCCTCCTTCGATCATTCCTTGCTTCTCCTCTTCGTCGTTCAGGGCGTAGTATGGATCGTCCTGGTCTTGCGGACAGTTCGCCCATCCCGCATCGTGGTAGCAGAGGAGGATCGCCTTCTCGAAGTCGACCGGGTAGATGTAGACGCCTTCCTGCTGATGCTCCAGGGCACGTTGGGCAAGGAGGTTGGTGAAGCGTATGTCCCCAACACATGGGTCCCTTTGGCACTGCTGACTCATCGAAACTCCAACTTGGAGATCGGGGCGAGACTGCGAAGCCAGCCAGGAGAGCGCCCCAATCAAGGACATATTGTCCAGTCTCTGGGTTTCCGTGGCGGTTTCCCAGTCCTTTGCACCCTTTTCCACATCAATCTGGAAAAGACGGGTGCTCACGTAGGACTCCTGGCTCACCTGGATGTGGTCGTTGCGGATGTCGACATAGGAGCCCACGTAGTCGAAGGAGTTGGTCTCCCATTCATCGATGGGAAATCTTTTGCTGAGCTCGCGCTTCAGGAGAGTGCACAGCCCATCATTCCCGATCAACAAGATGTCGTCGACATGAACTCCCAAGTAGGCCTGGGGCTTCCCGTAGGTGACCTTCTCATCGGCGTCCCTGGTGACCTCATGCACCGTAAAGATGCAGTTGTCGAGCTCGCATTGTCTGATGACCCATTGGCGTCCATCGTCGTCGGTGAGCGTCATCTCCTTGAGTGTTCCGCTTAGCTTCAGCCACCATGCCGATGGTGAATCCACTAACCCAAAGATAGGCTTTTGGATCCTCAGGAGTTGCTCTGGATGGAGGTCCCCGAGCCCAGTCTTTGGTTGCCGAAGGAACAACTCACGAGTGAGGGTCTCTCCTGACAAGAATGCCGCAGTCACATCCCCAGCATGCCCCGTCCAACCGTGCGCCATGTTGCTCGCGAGGATCTGGAGGAGGAGGAGTATGCCTTGGCGGGATATCGTAGGAGCGTGGGTGTTGAGCCCCTTCAGGAGGTCAGGGTCACGGTGTCCTCCGATAACAAGCCTCGCCTTCGGTTTCCACGGGACCTTGGCGTCCTGCTTCCTCTTGCTCCAGTGCTTATCTCGGTAGGCGAAGCGGCTGGGGAGAACTCGGTCCCCCTTGGTCTTCATGATCTCCCGACTCTCCTCAACGCTCAGAGGAACCAAGGCTTCATGTTGCCGGTGCTCGAGGTACTGCTTGGCCTCGGCATCCTTGAACATCCCCTGGACCTCCTGGGGAATTAGACTCCAGGGAATCTCCTTCTCGAGGGCCTTTTCCTTTCCGCGTGCGGTCTTGGCAAACTTGGTCATGTTGGCGGCGTGTACAGGTTCGGAGGGTCGACTGTCTTCTCCGGGCCCTTTCTTTCGTTGGCGCTTGGTCACCGCCGGAGCCTTTGGCTGGTCGCTATCCCTTTTGTTCTCGCCAGCGAACTTCACATCCATGTCGTGCCCATCTTCGCCTTCGATCGTCACCTCATCTTCTCCTTCGACGTTGATGGCCTCGTCGAGATCATCAACGTAGAGGGTCTCATCGTCGAAGTCGGCCTCCAGGAGCTTCTCGAGATCATCTCGTGTAGTGCGGAGTGAGAACGCCGCCCCAATCTCTTCTCCACTTGCAAGCCGTAAGTGTTCTGGGGCTGTGAGATGACAGCGCCCCGAGTAGGAGATCCACCAATTGGGGCCCTCCTTGCCAATGACAACGCCTGGCCCATACCATTCCCAGAACTTCTGTGACTTGGGCTTGCGGTAGATGTAGACGTGGTCACCAATGTTGAGCTCTGGGCCAGCCACTCGCGATCTGTGATTGAGGGCTCTCCTCAGGGTCGTGTCACTCTGGCACTTGTAGTAAGCCGTGCGGGCGCTCATCCTGAGAGCAAATTCCCGAGCTCGAAGTCGGTCTCTGGAGAGGACGCTCTCGAAGTGGTCTGCCTCCGCGTGGTGGGCAAGGTCCTCAGGAAGGCGTGGTTCGCGTCCCCATACGGCTTGTGCCGGACTCATCCCAGAGCTTCTTCTCAAAGAGTTCATGGCCGAATTAATGACCGTGGCGGTCATTGCTGCTTCGGAGGCCACGACAGATTTGTCGTCGCATACCTTCTCCCAGAGCTGCTTCCAGGATCGAATGCATCTTTCAACAGAACCTTGTTGGTAGTGAGCTTGGGCGGCTATCGGCCGGATCCACGTTCCATGCCATTCGCTGAATCGTGCTAATCCAGCTTGGAGGCCGGTCTCGAGGTCGAGGATCATACTCCCGGGGGGCCCGAAAGTAGAAGCCCAGGCATCGCAGAAGACCTTCTCGAGGGCCTCTCCGGAGTGTCCTTCGAGTTGGCGAGCAACACAAAAGCCCGTACCGATGTCGATCACGAGAAGGAACTCCACCCTGACATGTTCAACATCATAGACGGAAAAAGCGTCGACTGCCACAAGCTGGTTGAACTCCAGCAGACTCGGCATGGAACTCGGCTTAGCAGACTTTCCGCGGTGATGACGGTCACACACCTGACAGCGGATCCTCTTCGCGGCCTCGACCACTTCAGGGGAACTCCCCGCCAATCGAAGATGTCTGCAAAGATCCTCGGCGGTTGGGTGTCCCAAGTTTTGGTGCAGTCTCTTGAGGGAAGACTGGACAGGGGCTGGGATCTTCTTACCTTCACTGAAAGTGATGGCACTGGCGCCGCGAGCTTCGAGGGTTCGTTCTTCAGAGCTGGGGGCGGCATCACCTGTGACCGCCAGGACTTCATGAACCCCGGAGTCTGGCGTTGTCCTCGTAGTAGAAGAAGTCAAGTAGGTCTGAAGCGGACGTATGTCCTGGTCGGAGGCGAACTTATGTGAGGACTGGGCCACATTGATCCTCAGCTCTCGGCGTCCATTGCTCCTCTTTTCGAGAAGGAGTGCTCCTTCTTCACGTACTCGTTCAATCTCGTCGCTCTCCCACACGATCGCATTCTCCGGTGCCTCCAGGACCACTGCTCGCCCTTTACGTACTTGATCGCTTGCGATCTTCCCGATCTGGGCGAGGCGTCCAGTCACCACCTCGCCATGGATCCATAGGGTCCCGGGCTCAAAGGTCTTGATCGATTCGGTGAGGTTGTCGAGAAAGTCGTCCTTGTAGAGGTCTTCAGGAAGGATGGGTTCGGCAGTGAGGAAGTTGTAGTCGCTCGCCTCGAGGGTCTTGGTCTTGGTCCATCCTCCAATCTCAAGTAGAGCAACGGCGTCTTTGCCACGAGGTAGGGGAAGGGTTTCCCCGGTGAATGAAGAAGCGGCTGCCGAGCACACCGTGGTGAGTGCCACAAGTCGCTTGGCAGCTTTCCATATCCCTTTTCGCACGCTCTTGATCGGGCGGTCGGCTTTCACGTAGTGCTCCGGCTTTGGGGTAATCAGCTTATCGATTCCTCGCAGTGGAAAACACAGGGCGCGGAGGGAATCACGTTCGTCTTGGCCCGCATCCGAAATTCCCCTGGTAGAGAAGCAGGAGATGCACCACCGCTCCCCGCTCCATGTTCCAGTAGCATGTCGTCGCTTGGGGTCAAAGACGAAGGGCTTCTCCTTAGTGTCAATGAGGCTCCCACTGAGATCGTGGTACTTGTCGTCGCTGAACCTTGCCGTTCCTCGGGGTCCTCCGGGTTGATCTTCAAGCCAAAGGGGTCCATTCTCGAATTCCCCGAGGGACATGGTGAGCACCTGGCTGCCGAAAAGGTTGTGGACGTCCTTGTGGAGCTTGGTCTGCATGTTCTGTGTGATAATGAAAGACGTCCATACGGAGACTGAGTCGCCCCAGGCTCCGATGGATAACTCCCTCATGGCCTTGTTGACGTACTTCACCGTCCAGGGAAGTTGCCGGGTTTGGTGAGAAAGGCCTCGAAGTCCTCCGTGGGTCCACATTCCTCCGAGGAAAGACCTGACTTCACAGTCAGCATCCGCATTGATCCCTCGGTGGCGCTTGGTGACTTTCATCGGGAGCTTCTGGAAGCGTCGTAGAAGATCACAACAGCTGAAGGCTCGTGAGTGATAGAGCTCCTTGGCAAGACCTTCGCAGACGAACTCTGCATCGTTGACCCTTTCGGCGTCGTTGCCTGCCCGAGTGGTCTGGGTGTGGTACGACTCCTCAAAGTCCTGACTCCCATTGATGGCGGCCTCGTAGTCGTCCTCAAAGCCATTGACACCGAAGTCGAACTGAAAGGGGCCCCCGATGGTGTTCATCTCGACGGGATCCTGCTGGTACTTCGTCGGGGAAGTGGCGCGACCTATTCCACTACGGCCATCTAGGATCTCACAAGCACTGTCGCCTTGTTTCGTAGTCGCCTGAACATCCACAAGCCCGGGACGGTCCCGGGAGTCGCTTCCCCCGATGGCGTTCATCTCGATGGGATCCTGCTCGTACTTCGTAGGGAAACCTTTGTCTCCTCCATCGTCTTTGTCGCTCTCGCCGTTGCAGTCGTAGTAGATCTCCGTTCCTCCATGGTGCTCGGATTCGGGGCTCTCCCCGATCAGTGCCGAGGGGGCAGCCCTTGGCGGTCGCGTAGAAGAGCCAGGCGGTGTTCGAGACGTTGTATCTCGTCCACCACATCCGGGTCCGCATCTTGGTCCATTCCCGAGGTCGACGACGCTGACGATGTGATTGGCCTCCGTCCTCGCGGCGGAAGAGGCGTAGTTGCCTTCGGAGAGGTTCCGGTCAGGCGGGTCGGAGTCCTCGGCCCCACCAGATCCCACTGCTCGAACGGGTCCGGAGTGTAGGGGACGGTCGCTGTCTCCTCGGCGTCCACGTAGCCAGCCATCGTCACGGGGGCGGAAGTCGTCCTTCTGGATTCCTGGTCCTGGCGGCACCACGCTGCAAACATCTTCAAGTCCTCCTGGGCACCGGGGTTGGCATCCGTCTCGTTCATGGCCCAGACCCTGTAGCTGGGAGCCGTCTCCTGGTACATGCACCCCTTGTAGCGCCCGAACGACAAGATCGTCTGGGCTCCCATTCCGCCATTGTCCCTGAGAACTCGCATGAGGGAGGCCTTGTTCGGCCGGTCGGGGAAGCTCAACCCAGCTTCGGTCACCGCGGTCTTGAGCTGCTCCAGGGTCATCTTGCTCAGGGCGGGAGGTGGACATCCCACTGCCGAAGGTCCTGTGGCCTTCTCGCGGTCCTCCTGGATCACTTGGCGGATCTCGGCGGCTGTCCACTTCGGGTGGTACTGAAGGCGACGGGCTTGGGCCTCGGCGATGAGCTCGTCCTTGGTCAGCTCCCACAGCGTCTTCTGCTTCGTCACGGTGGGCGCGGTCAGCAAGGGAGCCGAGCGCGAAGCCATGGGAGCTTTCGAATTTCGAAGGGTTGTGGTTGCTCGACATTCGAGCGCGGCTAAACACTGATCTGCCGACCCAAAGCAGCGGAAGAGAGGCGTCATCCTCTGGGTCACGCCAGCCTCCGTGTACAGGATGGTACTCACGATGTGTTTTACACGAGATGGCCTCAGTGCTCCTGAGACTTCCAAGGGCTTGAAGTAGAGCATTCTTGTGATCGACAGACTGAGTGTTCCACTTCGACGGATTGAACAAGGTTCTCCTAGGGATAACGTGTATCCTAACCAACACCTGCTCGCCCTCAATCCAGAAGTCGTTGCTAGTTGGGGTACTATTCCACCAAGTCATAAACGAAGTGCAACTGAGCTTGTCTGCGAGCAACATCCCTTTCACAGCGGCACCGAGTTTCTTAGGGTAGAAGATCGATGATTCATCCTTGACGTTCTCGTTCCGGGGCCTCGGGATTGACCTTGGTGTGCTGTAGGTGATCTGCAGGGGACCTTCTGTAGACGCAGGGGGCTGAAGAACGTTGGGAACCTCGTTGGACTCAGGGACTTCATCATGGATATCAGAGCTGCTGACACGGACCGTCTCTAGAGCAAACACTGTGTATTGCGCACGCTCGGAGAGGATCTTCACTTCGGGTCCGTTCCAATCGCCTCCTTGGGCGAGGGCTGAGTCTACGTAGATTGGCTTGATGGGCACCGCGGGATGCCCGGTGTCAGTGATCACAAGCTGAAGCTCCTGAACGCGCAGCTCGCGAAAGTCTGCAGTGTTACGATCGACATCGAGGACCATCCCAAGCTTCCCCAGCACCGGACGTGACAGGAGCAGTGGAACATCTCCATTGACCACAGAAATGCGCACCATGATCGGATGGCCTCCAATGTCGAACGTGAGGACGATGCTGTAGAGGGCCTCGAACACGCGGGACGCTCCGAACTTGAAAGACTCCTTGGCCTCCAGGAACGGGGGCCTGAAACCGATCTTCCGAGCCTCGTTGAGGTAGGACTCGACCCACGGCACCCCTGCCACGCTTTTGCTGCAAGCGGTGTCTGTGATCCCGAGAAGAGATGAGGCCTCGGTGGATTGATTCAGATCCCAGGTCACATGGACGACGTGGCACGGAAAGTTCACCTTGGGATTCTTCTCAGGAGAGGAAGGCCCTGACCCAGGCCCCGCAGTTCCACCCGTAGAGGAGGGATGCGTCGAAGAAGCGGTCTTGCCCTGATTCAGAGGGCACTGGGGATCTTTGTGCCAATGTCCCTTTCTCTTGCACGCCGAGCAGAAAGAGCGCTGCTTAGCCGCCTGAAGCCTCTGATGCATGGCTTCACGCATCCCATCCGGATCAGTTCCTCGAAGCTTCAGGGTGTCCCGGTACTTCTGACGCGCGGTCTCGTGCGTAACGTAGGCCTCGTAGAGCTCGGAAGCGACGGCTTCCGGGACTCCTTGGCTATCCGCGTCCTCGGTCGACATCTCCTCGCCGAAGTCATCCACGTCCTCCTCGCCGTAGGATCCCGCCATCATCGCCGACTGCACCTTCTTGTTCCACGGACGCGTGTTGGAGGAGCTTTCCCAGGGCTTCCTCAAAGTGCGGTCCTGCACTATTGAAGCTTGTTGGAGCAGCTTCAGGTTGTAGACGTTCCCCACCGAAGCCGGTAGGTTGAGCTCCGCACTCTCCTCCAGTCCCATACGGTCCACCAGAACCCATGCCGCCGCCAGGTCCGGAAGGACACAGCCTACCTCGTTCAGGCGGGCCAGGCTCCGATCGAAGTCTGAGAGATAGTCTCTCACAGACTGCCCGGGCTTCCTCCTCAGCTTCCTGAAGAAGTCTGAAAGACAACGACCCACCTGAGTGATCTCCACGTCCAAGTACCTGTCCTTCACCCAGGAGACGAGGTAGTCCACGCCAGAGGCCTCAGCAAGCTTGTCGACATTAAGCCGTTCGGCTTCCACCCAAGCTCGCCCTGAAAGGTTCTGGTACAGAGTGAGTCCCTGAGCCTCCGGGGCGAGACGAGTCATACGTCTCCAGGCTGCGATCTGGCGGAGGTAAGATCTCGCCGTCTGGCCCAGATTTTCATCTCCAGTATCGGTCGTGCCGGAGAAGCTGGGCACCACCATCTTCTCTGAAGGCCCTCGTCCGCCCTCGGAGAGCCCACTGCGGGCGTTGCTCTTGAGGTCGCTCGGCAAGGTAGTGGGCCTCCATCCATCCGGAAGTCCTCCAGGACCTCGATGAGGATCTCCTCCGTTGTGTGCCGGAGGAGGAACAGAGTCGTCCTTAGCATGCTGTCGTTCGTCACTGATGCTGCCATTCCCCTGACAGCCGGCCGCAGATCCCGACTCGGTAGAGCCGGTTCCCCAAGTTTCATCTTGACTCCATCGTCGTCCGTAGTCGCGAGGCCATTGCTCCCAAGCGGAGCCCCAGCGACTACCGTCGTCCCAAGAGTAGCCCCACCAGCCGGGCTGCTTGCTACTCTTACTCCACCACGAGTCGTCGTTTCCCTGGCCTCGAGCTCTCCAGGGGTCTGAAGAGGGCTCCTGTGAGGGAGCTGCAGGATTCCCGCTATGTTCATCACGAGAGGGCCGGTTATCTCCTGTACCCCCAGGTTCGGGATGCGCGCCATCACCGGGTACTTGCGGGGAATCGGGTACGGGTGCATCACGAGGTTGGCCAAGGTTACGGTAGAAACTTTCCCCCGAAGGCTGCGACATTGCAAAACCGAAAAGCGCGGTCTGGACCTAGGAGCCGAAGCTCCGCTACCAATCTACAAACTAAGCTAGCAGGGCACGGCCCGGCCTCCCGCGCACAGCGACGGGCTGACTTTTCGCACAGCTTGACGAACTCTTGTGCCTGACGGCGACGGAAGACCTGCGTTCGAGGTTGGGACTTGACTGTTCAGAGAGGAGTTCAACAGGAGCTCACACAAACTCAATCCTCGATTTACACTAAACCCCAAGCCCGAAGCCCTAACCCCTAAACCGCTTGTGTTTCGAGGTTTGGGGAATTGGAGTTGACTGCGAGCCATCTTTTCCAAACGCCCCTGTGGTGTAGCCCCTAAACCCATAGGCTCCATAGTAGTTCCTTTTTGGGGTTCACATTTTTTTCAATCCTAGAAGGTAATCCCCAAAAGGAACTACTATGGAGCCTCTGGCCTAAGCCCATCCTTTTCGATAATTCCAAATCGTGAAGTGCGGTGATCCTGAAGTAGGAACGGCCTCGCTTGAATCAAAGGGGCAAAGGAGGGACCCTTAATGAGGACCCCTACCCTATAATTGGCTCTATAATGGGTATATAACAGCTATATTAAGGGTATATACCTAGGGGTCCTTATTAAGGGTCCCTCCTTTTGCCCTTGGATTGAAGATGGCCATTCATGTCCCCTGAAGGCCCTAAGGGTCCATGTGGGTAGTTCTGTAAATTCGGGTCCCGTTTCAGCACCCTTATCAAACAGAACCCTCCAAAAAGGGACAATTTATAGGGACGACTTTAACGCCCAAGCATAAACCACATGGGCACGTGACCCTTTCTAGTAAAGCAATATAGAAGTCCAAGTAGTTACTGACATCAGTCGTTTAGGGTTCCTTGTTATAGCAATATCGTACTACAACCCCCAACCCCTAAACCCTGAACCCTGGTCCTAAACCCTAAGGTAAAAGCCAGAAAGTTGGAATATGATTATCCTAACTCTTCTATGGTAAATTATAGGGCATCCTACCATGAAACCATATTCCAACTTTCTGGAGTTCCCTGTAAACTCTAAACCCTAAACCCTAAGCCCTATAAGCCCTAAACCCTGGCAAGCTCAGTAGCCTTACACGCCCCAAGTGAGATCCACGGCGGACTTCGAAATCAGTGCGAAACCATGGAAAAACTCCGAGGTCTATGGGTTTTAGGTTTAGGGTTTAGGGTTTAGGGTTTAGGGTTTAGGGTTTAGGGTTTTAGGTTTTTTTAGGGTTTAGGTTTAGGGTTTTAGGTTTAGGGTTTAGGGTTTAGGGTTTAGGGTTTAGGGTTTTAGGTTTAGGGTTTAGGGTTTAGGTTTAGGGTTTAGGGTTGTAGGTTTAGGGTTTAGGTTTAGGGTTTAGGTTTAGGGTTTAGGGTTTAGGGTTTAGGGTTTAGGTTTAGGGTTTAGGGTTTAGGTTTAGGGCTTAGGGTTTTAGGTTTTTTTAGGGTTTAGGGTTTAGGGTTTTAGGTTTTTTTAGGGTTTAGGGTTTAGGGTTTTAGGGTTGAGGAACTTAGTTAGTCGGGGTTTCTGTGCGGAGGCTTAAGAGTTGGGGCATGCACTGCGCCTGTAACCATTTATCGGGATGAGAGTGGGGATCCTAAACATTCAGGCCGTTGTCAGACGTCTAGATTACTGCTAATCCCATACACCCTAAACTCTAATCCTGCTTCTTGAGTCCGCCCCGCCCCCACCACAACGGAAAACTGTGAAGTCCCTGCACGTAAACCTCCGTCAGCCCAGAATCCTAAAAGGATCAGGGGGCTGAGCACGTAGGAGGACTATAAAGGGGTGGTTGTCAAAATTATGGTCCCTTTGTGGGTACCCTATATATTAGGTGCCGTACGATATTAGGGACCCCAAAAGGGACCGTAATTTTGACAACTACCCATATGGCTATGGTGACACCAGCAAGGCAGGAAAATTTCCTTAGCTGAGTAATTAGAATCGTGTTGCGGGTCCAGTAAGCTATACTTAGCATCAGGAACCAACCGAAGGAAAAGTTTTAGAACATGTGCATTCCACATTACTCACCCCAACCCCACTCCCCCCAATCCTAAACCCCAAATCCTAGACCCTAAACCCCTGAGCCCTAAGCCCTTATCTCCAAATAGCCCTGATCATGCAGCTTGGGTCCGTTGAGCAGCTGACGCCCGCTGGGTTTCAAAGGAGCCGTGTGGGGGTTTAGGGTTCAGCGGACACTGCATCCTATGATCTCTACTGCAATACATAATATAATCTGTACAATCCCTCAGAAGTTGAAGCCCTCATAAAGTCCTTTCGAGGACCTTTACACCCTTCGAAAGCCGTGTAAAGCCCAGAAATACCTCGGCCCTCAACCTGCTGCCCGAAGCCCTAAACACTATAATCTACAGTCTCCTTAGGAATTTTTTGCCAAGAGAAGATTCAGACTATTTTTTTAAAAATGGTTCTAAGGAGGAAGGATGAGAGACCTTTGGGTTCGTCCGAGGTTCAGGCGCGAGTCTTGCTGGTCCAGCTGGGGTCTGAGGGTTTAGCGGTTTAGGGTTTAGGGGTTAGGGTGTAGGGGTTTGGGTTTAGGGTTGAGGTTTCGTAGGATTCTGGGGTTTGGGGTTTCAGAGTCCCGGCTTTGGAGTGTTGGAGTGTTGCGCAGCGGGGATTGGGTGTTTCCAGGCACCTCGAAGTGGGGGATGCTAGACTGGGTTGTTTTTTGGGATCTCCTTTAATTTCCACTACTATTTTGTGGAGAACCAGAATAGTAAATAATTTTCAAAGGGCTTAGAGGACAACTCAGTTGAGTTTTCAATCATAAATGACTGAGACGGCTTGGGGTGAAGTGTCCATCCCTACACCCTAAACCTCAGAGCCGTGAAGTTAAACATTCAGCCCCAAACCGAATATGTTCGTACATCATTCAGAGTTTGCAGCTTCAGTGTTGGAGCTCCGCTGGGATGCAACCATGCTTTGATGTCCCGGGGACTTAGAAGCAGGTTGCAAGCAGGGCTGCAAGCGGGAGAACACCAGTTCAGGTACTTAGAACCCCAAGCAAATCTGTTTGCTCAAGTCTCCAATGAACTCGAAACCCCTAAACCCCAAACCCTACTTCCTGGGTCCCGTGATCCTTCAAGAATCCTTATAGTCTTTCGAACGCACCTAAAGCCATGCAGAGTCCCAGTTGTAACCTCCTGCTAATCCGTCTGCTAATCCGTCTGATCCTTTGACTAGTGGCACTTTGGGGAATCTTCATAGTTTCTTCTATGGGCCTATTTGTAGAAGCACCTATTCACAAACGCTTTGCGGGGCCCCGAAGCTACAACCCAGTTAAGTGCAGGACCATGGCAATCAACGTCGAGGGCCCCCTCTTCTTGACGCAGGCGATGGGGCCGGGGTTTGGGGTTTAGGGTTTGCATGACCCACGGGGATTTCCGAAGATTTGCAGAAAGAAGCTTATGCCTTGCAAGGGAATCTATGAAGGTCTGTAAGGGATTGCAGGGACTTCATTACGGTTTTACAAGGGCTTTCATGTTCGGCTCGAGTACAAAATGCCTTGAGCCTTTGCTGACCCTGCGCCCCAAACCGTGAACCTTCAAGCCCTGGATCTTGTATTGGAAAGAAGCCCCTTACACTCAAGACCTTACATAATTCCAAAATCTAACTCTAAACACTACAGCCCCAGCGTCAAAGCCCTGAACCTGAAACTCCAAACCCCCAAAGCCCTAAACACCAAGACTTCAAAACCTAATATGGTAGCCGATTGCTCTTCGTAGAAGGCACCCCGAAAACCCTAGTCTAGCGGTCAAGGCACCTACACTAAACACTCATAGTAACCGTAACCCTTTTCGAAACCCTTCGAGAATCCTTAAAGGAACCCCGTTCAGCGCCTCTATGCCCCGGTCAGAAAGCGACGAGGCCTTGAAACCCAACCTGGGCCAAGGGAGCCGCGCTTCTCGGCTACGGGTTTTGTCAGACTTTCTCTCTTTCTTTCTCTTTCTGTCTTTCTATCTTTCTCTCTTTCTCTTCTTTCTCTTTCTGTCTTTCTCTCTTTCTCTCTTTCTCTCTTCCTCTCTTTCTTTCTTTCTCTCTTTCTCTCTTTCTCTAGACTCGTCCTAGTAGTCGTCTTAGTGGTAGCAGTGGTAGTAGGTAGAAGTAGTAGTAGTAGCAGCAGCAGCAGCAGCAGCAGGAGTAGTAGTAGTAGTAGTAGTAGTAGTAGTAGTAGTAGTAGTAGTAGTAGTAGTGGTAGTAGTAGCCGCCACGGCTCAGACGTTTTGGAAGTTTCGCGCTGGCTTTCGAACAGGCTCTGGATTCCAACCTTGCGTTGCTAGAGGTCTCAAACAGGCCTCTCTCCGAACGACTAAGGGTTGGTTCCTCACGCTGAGCCATGTGCCATGTGCCAACAGTTTGCGTCTGAGCCGCCAGGTCCCAATTCCTGGACCCAGTACCCTGTCTCAACACGGGCCCACTGGGCAGGCGGTAGGGTTTCCACTAGCCGCGTGGTGGAGGGAGTCACTCGGCTTGCCTTGTGACGAAATAGCGGATGGCGCTGCTCCCAGTGCACTCACAAAATTATTCTCAGATCAGGAAGAATTCTTTCAAGCATGTTTGCCGACAGGTGGCTGCAAGCCAGCAGCCTGTTTCTTACCGAGGTCAGGTTCTGACCCCAGCTCTTCTCAGGCGCATGGGCAACTGCCCACCGCAGCCGGGCTCCAAGCAGTCTTTTGCACCACGATCTCGGGCAGGACAGGCCACCAGGCCTCTCCGAGTACTGTCCTGGAATGCAGGCCATCTTGGCCAGCAACAATGGTCGGAAGTCAAATCATGGCTCTCCACTGAGGCACACCACACCTGTGATGTGTTCGTCCTGCAGGAGACCCACTGGCAGGCTACGGCCGAATTTAGTGTTGCAGGCTGGTACTGCATCTCGTCTGCTTCTGCTGCAGATCCGAAGGCCTCTAGACGAAAGCAACGCGGGGGCAAGGCCCATAAACAGTCACCTGCAGAGGCAATGCCTAATGA